AAGCATCTGACACCAAGATAAGGGATTTCAAGTGGATTCAGTTTCTTTTAGGAAGCTAATGTACAGGCTAACAATGGAGAGCTCCCATAGCAGTTCTAATAAATCATGCTTATCTTACTCCAGAACTGCACTGGGACTTGAGAAAGCCACTGTAGTTAACTCTATACCTAGAGACATTTGCTTTTAATGAAAATAAGTTCATCAGATATTGTGCATCTTTGCTGTCTCTTTTCATCTTCTTTCTTTATGCATTTACATTCACTTTTCTATCATTTTAAACTTTCCCAATTGTCTCACCTTGTGCAAACTTTTGTTGCAGTCAATAGGGAGCTGTTTTAATAATGTGTCCGTGTAAGATAAGATACGAGCAGAAACAATTGGATAAGGGTTTAGAAGTGTCTGTGAGTTTATTCAGCCCTTGTGCTGACTGAGCACAAAACTCATTAAGTGCATTTAAGATACAAAAGCACAGTGTGTGGTGGAATTAGTGTTATCTGTGTCCTATAGGCATGGAGCAGCAGACTTACACTGGGGAAGGAGAAATTACAGTGCATTGGTAATGTTCAATTTAGTAAAAAACTGTATCTAGAAATCTGCATATGTGCTTAACATTTAGTGATCTTTTACTGTTTTCAAAGTCTGCGTTTAACATACTTAAGATAAATTGTATTCATAGATTAGCCTATTTAATCTAACCTAATCTGGGATGGCTTTCGCTGAAAGTGATTGGAAACTGTGGAACACTGTGAGTTGGGAATATTCATAGACAACAATATCTAAAACATGGGATCCAGAATACACACTCCTCCAAGACTTTACGAGGATGTGATCTGCTGAATCTCCCCAGATTCAGATGGGTGTGATTGACAGGTGATTAGTCAATCATAATGTTATGCATAATCATATACAGTATGAACAATGAGCTCCTTTGTTTCACACACCCGCACACACACAAAGCAATTCTGAGTGCACGAGCCCGGCTCAAGGAGCAGAGGAGGGAGTAGTGACCAGATAGAGATCCCTCTGAATAAAACATACAGAGATATATCATACTGGACTCTCCAGGCAATCAAAAAAAGTCTTTACAATCACTCCGTCACTCCTTCACCACATCAGCAGCACTAACAGCATCTTCTTTCCATTTCTTTCTCTCTTCTGAACGGTCTGATGCAAACAGACAGGCTCATCTCAATTCATTAATAGTTTGCATCTTTGCCAGCAGAATTAAATGTAGAAGTAGAAAGATGTTGTGTATATTTTGATAAACTTAACCCTGCTCTGTGCAAAGGTGCATGTAAACAACTTGACTCAGACATTTGTCCTCCCAGGCATCAAGAAAGAAAAAGCAAATCACACAGTTTGGTGAGGATTTGCGTATGCTCTTGCCTTCCCTATCGTCTAACATCTGCTGCTATTTACCAAGTGACTTATTTCTTAGAGTTTTCTTAAACCCACTTAGCTTATCAACAGCTTGCATCCCACTGAACACCCTGGCTCTCGTCTGGCTTCAGAAAACAGGATCAAATCAAATCACTAGTCACTTAAAGATTTTCACAGCCTACGACTCACTCTTTATATTTGAGGAAATGTTTTGTTACAGAGAAAGCCTCCAGGCGCTGGCAACAAATAAGTTGTTCCTACAGTTAAGAAAACACAAACTTCCACATTGAATAAAAGAAACTTAAGACAAATACTCAGAATACAAAAATGTGTCTAGAGGCAAAATGAAACAAAAGCTCATGAACTGGTCACGATCACAATCACAACAGCACACTGTGGTACTCGGTGAAGCATATATTCTACCAAATCCTCACCCAGAACCTTATGCTGTTTGAGCTGCTGGCTAGAATCACACAGATCCTTGTTTTCTACCCATATCTAAACTTCATATAACACTTTATAAAAGATAAAAGTACACTATGAACTATTTTCTACTTTATTAACACCGTAGTCATAGCTCTCAGGTCCCAACCCTAATCCTACTGAGCCTGAATCATTCTAAATTGACTATATGAAGTTTTTTTTTTTTTTTCATCTATTAAAGCTAGTTAAGGTGCAGTTATTACACAGTGGTAACACTCCAGGGCCGTATGCAGTTCTCATGGTATTTGTTTAAATAGACCCAGTATATTTCATGCATAAATTCAGCTTGTCCTGTTTGCCCTAGTAAAATTATATGAGTATTCCAAATGCCTTTCTCTATCTCCATAGTAGCAATCAGGTGACACCAGTTCAAGTCACAGGTCAGATCTGTGGAGAGGCCCACAATAAGAATGCATGATTTTTCGGTATTTTTAAGCTTTAGAAAGACATGTAATTGAAAAAATGCATTAAGTAAGGAGGAAGCTTAAGCCGCTTATACCATGGTCTGAAAAAAACAAACTGAAAAGAGTTCACTTTTAAATCTGACAACATTTTTTCTCTAATATATTCCTGTTCTTCTCCTAACAGTGGTTCATTTGCTTATCCATTGCTATGGTGTTTTGCACAGCACAGTGATACAGAACAGTGATTAACTGTTGCCCAACTACCTGTGCAGTTACAAAAAAATTATTATGCGCTGCAGTTAGCATTATAATTCTCTTCTCACTGATCCTAGTATAAAGACAAGTTTAATTCCACCAGGCAAAACAACAACATCTCAATGCAATCAGATAGCAGACCCCCCACCAGCACATAATGTGTTCATGATATTTGCTTTATTTAAAAGTACACTATGTAACTTTTTGGCTGGGGGTCCATCACCTTCTTGTTTCTATGGGTATGTCTTTGCTCTGTGTGGAATATTCCAGAGTATTCCAGAGTAAACAGATCTATCTTACATTTATTCAATTACAGGTGGTTTTATAGCTCAAAAATTCCTAGAAAAACAGGCACTCTGGCTGTGAGCGAGGTTGCTTCTACACAGATCTGACCTGTAACATGGTCTGGTTTGGTTTACTCCATGCACATATATACAGAGCAGTGAGAGTGTGTCAGTGTCTAGAGTTTTGGACACACTAATTTCTGGGTTTCAGATGACTTCACAACATTCTATAGGTCAATAATATTTAATACAGATGGTGCACAGCTAAAATTAATATTGTCAAAACACAGATTTTTGTTGCCATACAATGAGTTCCTGGGTCTAGTCACTAACAGAAATGATCCAGTTCAACATTTGTGAATTTACCTTTTGGATATTTTATTTTGGATATATTATTTAAGTAATCAATAGGAAAAACTGGCTCATGTCCCCCATCTGAGAGCATGACATCAGTGCATTCTCAGTATTGCTCAACTGCAGAGCTTTGTTGTAATATATTATGGCCTTGGGTCTAGTCAGTAATAAAATGATGAAATCTATTGATATTTTGAGTAAAGTTCACTCCTATATAAATGTTTCATGCATGATGATATTATATTATAGTTTAATCTATCCTTACGTCATGTATTGTAACATGGTTTGGGGCACTACATGTAAGACATATCTCAACAAGATTGTATTAATACAAAATATTTATTTTTTAAGAATTTTGAATTATTCACACAGATTGCCCTCATCTGCTCCTCTGTTCTGAAAATACAATATTCTGACAATATTTAATGTCAGCATATATTGTATTTGTCTGTTCATGTATAAGTAAGAAAGTGCATTTGTCAAATGCTTTACCCAGATCTTTTGACAACTTTTTCATGTACTCTTCAGATGTTCACACCTGTACTACGAGACACTGCGGAGGTTTTTATCTTCCCTTGTGCAGAACTTCCACAAATCAAAGAACACTCAAGTTCAGAGGGCCGACCCTCTAGAATAATCCAACCCAGACTCTCAAATCTATTTTCTCACTGGGCTATTTTAAAAGACAGTTAAATGAAACATTGATTTGTAATGATAGTTAATATTTGGACTACTGAAAGTCAACTTGTTCATGACTGTTGTGATAAAATCATGTTTATAGGGGAGATGATCTTATAATCATTCTCATTCTCTCCTGCACAGTCATTTTCTTTTGTTTCTACCTGTTTAAAATGTTATTTCTTAATATATCTATCTATCAATAGGAATTATCAGGTTCCATATGTGGCAATTTACCTTTTGGATATTTCATGGCAAAGTACAATGTATTCAATAGGGAAAACTAGCTCTTGCCCCCCATCTGACTATTTTGTCATGAAATATCCAAAAATTTATTCACAAGTCTTTAATGTAATCTTTTCTTTTGTTGACTAAACCCATTAATAGGGCTGTGTATCATAAAAAAGTTGCCAATACGATACATACCTCAATACAGTGCACTTTCGATTCCATAAGGTATGTTTCAAATTGATTCAATATGGTTCAATAAAAATAATGGTTAATCACGGCTGTGAGACTAAAAGTCTTTGTTAAACCACTTCTTGTGCAAATTGAATATGAAACACAAACATTTTAATCATCAAAACAGTGAAAATGTCAAATGTGTTGCATAAACAAGTTTCCTTCCTCTAAACAAACAACAAAACTGTAGCACTGTAACAAAATAATTGAGCAAAATATACCAAAAAATACTCTTGACAATATATTGATACAGCAGCCCATGATATCAATACTGTATCATCACATTAAACGGTGCGATATATTGGTATTTCAATATTTTTGCACATCCCTACCCATTAACTTGCTATATTACAACAAAAACCCTACATTTTAACTGTATTTACTTGATTTGCCCCCATCAGTATTAAATATTATTGGCCTATAGCATGCATGATGTCAAGTGAAACCCAGCTATAAAGATTTAATTCCACCAAGAAAAACAACAACATCTCCATGCTGACACCGCATCAGAAAAGTTACATAGTACATTTATAATATATGTTTTATTTAATATTCATCTCTCAAACATAGGTCCTAAATATTCATATTTTATTATCTCTGGGTGATCCAAGCACGTCGAAACAGAGCCGTGCGAGTCAGTGTGTCAGTGTCTAGACTTTTGGACACACTAATGGGCAGGTACACTGTGAGTTGTTCTGACCTGGTAGGAGTCTATGGCCTCGCGGTCCAGTGAGCGGCTGACAGACACGTCTCCTGTGTGGATGTCAATAGTGAAGAGACCTCTGGGGTCGCGGTCAGCACCCGGCCCTGTCAGCTGGAAGATGTGGCTGCCCGCCCTCTCCATGGAAATCACCTGTACACACAATATCGACGGTCAGAGCCTGGTAGTTATGGGTAAACTCGCGCTGCTCGCAAAAGCCTGTTCTATTTTTTATTGTGTAAATTCAGATTGGCAGCTAGAGCTTTCTTAACCTTAAAGGGCCCGAATTATGGCATTTTCTCATCTGTTATAATGTTGTTTCGACATCACAAACATGCCTGGAGATTGTTTTGTTCCATTTACATGATTAACATACACATAAACTAAACGACTGAAAATAAAGGGTTACTCAAACATGTGTGAATGAATACTGCTACTACTACTAGTAGTAGTAGTACTCCTACTGCTACTACTACTGCAACTACTATTTGTACTCCAACTGCTATTACTACTGCTACTACTACTACTACTACTACTACTGCTACTACTACTACTACTACTACTACTTACTACTACTGCCACTACTACTTCTACTACTACTACTACTACTACTACTACTACTACTAACACCTACTGCCATTACTACTACTACTACTACTACTAGTACTACTACTACTACTACTACTACTACTACTACTACTAACACCTACTGCCATTACTACTACTACTACTACTACTGCCACTACTACTTCTACTACTACTACTACTACTACTACTACTACTACTAACACCTACTGCCATTACTACTACTACTACTACTACTAGTACTACTGCCACTACTACTACGACTACTACTACTACTACTACTACTACTACTGCCATTACTACTACTACTACTACTACTGCCACTACTACTTCTACTACTACTACTACTACTACTACTACTACTGCCACTACTACTTCTACTACTACTACTACTACTGCTGCTACTGCTCCTCCTCCTCCTCCTATTACTACTACTACTACTACTACTACTACTATTACTGCTACTGCTACTACTACTAGTACTACTGCTACTACTAGTACCACTACTGCTACTGCTACCAACTCACAACTCCAAGTATGTTTTTGATGAGATAACAACTTTCTAAAATTGCTTAAATGGTGCACTATGCAATGTTTTGTTTGGGGGTCTGTCACCTGCTTGTTTCTACGGATATGTCATTACTCTGCCTGGAATGGTCCACAGTATGACATTAAATAGATTTACCTGACATTTATTCAATTACAGGTGTTTTTTTTAGCTCAAAAATATCTAGAAAAACAGGCATTCTGACTATGAGCAAAGCTGCCTCTCCACAGATCTGTCCTGTGACTTGGCTTAGTTTGGTCTCCATGAAGATAGAAGTGTTTAATGCTATACTGTGAAACATTCCAGACAACGCAATAAGATCTCCATGGAGAAAAGCAGGCGACGAACTCTCCACCAGAAAAGTTACACGGTGCATCTTGATTTTAAACTTAATAACCAAACTCTAACTTAACCATTCTCATAACCCTTAACCCTAAACTAAATCACACTGAATTACTAATCACAGCAGACTGACCCTCTTTAGCGCCAATCTAGCACTTTAAAAAGATGATTTCTTGAGTTTTAGAGGAAAAAAAACAGCTGTGAAGAAATGCACTCATTTGAGAGCACTGGTATAAAATTATGCAAAATGATGGATGTTCAATGAATAATTTATAAATGATCAGAGTTTGAGTTCATCAGCTGGAGAATTTAAAATGAGTTATGTCATACATGCCCTTTTGAATAAAGCACATTCAGTTACAGCTCCATGTAAAAATAAGCTTTCCATGGAACAAACTTGGAAAAAAATGGTAAAAGTCTCCACAAAATTGCTTTTCCCAATTGAGGAAGAACTAAATTAAGTTGTAGTTATGTTTACTATATTTGTATAACGTAAAATGTGTAATGCAAGCTACGTGTGTGTCTCATATTTAGAATATCTACTTACATGTGACTGGATTCCACATCAACAGGTGTCCAGGAAGCATAGAAAGAAAAAGAGAGAGCACAATTAGCAGGAAAACAATTTAAGATAAGAGTAAAATTTTATCTAAAAAAAAAAACAAACAAACAAAAAAAACAATAAAAGTTTAGTACCTACAAATGTACGGTAACTTAAGGGTACACTTTTAAACAAATATAATGCTAATATGCAAACATGTACGTAGTTCATTTCAAGTTAAGTATTTTGTGGACTCCTGTTAATGTTCTTATTTACAAACACATTCCTTGTAATAAACCAGTAATAAACCATCATTATTGCTGATTAATTATGATCTTAGCACATAGGAATTATGATCTAAACGTTTTTTGTTAATGAGCTTGTTATTAGTACCAAAAGTGCTAATGTTTTTCATGTACAAAACATCATAAGCAATTGATAATTTGCAGTGACTCCATGCTGGGGGTGTTCTACATGAATCTCTATTGGCAGAATGTTCAACAACGTGACACAATGCACACAGTAGCAAAAACTGACAAAAATGGTATAATATAGTCTCAAGAAAAAATACAAAACAGAAAATAACACATTTTCAGGAGCTTTGTGATCGATACAAGCGTTCGTGGTCCTGTTTACTTTGATTTTCAAAAAAAAAAAAAAAGTGAGAGTGACTAACCAAAAAACTGTTGGATAGCTTGAGACTTGTAAGTGTGAGAGACTTTAAGATCACGAATCATCTGAGCTGTTGTAGTTCCAACCAAGTCAAGTCCTTCTGGTCAGATTTGTTTTATAAATGAAGCTCAGATTAAACTCTAACTTCAGTGACTTCTAACAGAGTAGTGCTTTCAGTTAGCGTCACACCACCGGGGAATGTCGAAGCCCTCAGCTGCAAAGTATCAACAGAACATCCACATTGTGCCCCGGCTGTAAGCGTGGCCCTGCATGTCAAAAGATCTCAAGTCCCAATCACAGCGATGGCATGAGGTCACCTATAATGAGAGTGTCTTTTATGAGGGTGGCAGCTAAAATGATGCTCTTTCTACTGCTCACTTCACAGAGCATAGAAGATGAGGATTCAGCACCACGGACAGCTCCAGCTCTCCTCTCACTAACTGTAGCCCTGTACACTCCTTTGCTCCCCGCTTGTTACTCCCTTCTTCACTTCTCGTACACTTATGTGTCTCATTATTGGCTCATCATGTCCCACTTGGCTTGTCTTATCTCACTTCCCTCCTTTTTTCATCCCTTCTATTTTAGGTTTCACTTGTTCTTTTAATTAAAATCAGAGGCTTTTGTGACGTCAGTAGTGTTTAAAGAGCCTATATTACGCTATTATGTAAGCTATGTTATAAAGTTGTTTCCTCATCAAAATCATACTTGGAGTTTTGTGCTCCATTGTGTTTTTAAACTCCATTCACCTTCACTAGAATCTTTTGGATAAAGTCAGACCTGGAATTGCCAATCTTCACTGAACTAAAGGTTAATCAAACATGTGTGAATGAGACAAAACACAACCTGAGGTGTGTTTTTGAAGAGGTAACCAAAATATAACATGGAATAAAGCTCACAAGAGACAATTTTGTGTAATATAGAACCTTTAAATTTGGTAGCCAGCCAAAGCGATATATATGAAATGAAAGGGGGAAAAAAATGAAAATACCTATAAAGTTGTTGTTATTTATTTATGTATTTATATGAAGGGTGTTCTTATTGAGAAAGCAAAAAAAATAAAAAAATAAAAAATAAATAAATATGGACCTTCGGTGAATCCCAGGGTTGACACTTGTACTGATAAACTTCAATTTTTTTTTCACTATGGGCCATCAAAATTCAAAGTGTATGGAATATACTTTGAATATAAGGAAAAAATAGCACATGACATTGGTTCTGATCTAGGAAAAACTGCTAACTACATCACTTTGATAATATTCACTTTGCAAACTTTAAACTGAATATCCCATTTTGCTGTAAGTCTATTTTGATACCGTTGAATCCTTTACAAGTGCTGTTCTGAAAGCAAATTCTACTTAATTGTTTATGTGGTCAGTAATGGTTAATGTCACATACAAAAAAATGAGGGGGGGAATTGCATTTGACATTCCACAGTGGATTCAAGCCTTCAGAGCCTTTCCCCCTTTTTTTATTTTGAAAGAAGTAAAATCCTCAGGTAGCCAGGTTTTGGTCCCATGAGGTGTGGACAGTCAGCCATGGTTTCAGAAATGGTTTTACCCTACAGTCTTAAGAATGTACTGCATGTTCAAATCCAAATCCACTTTATTTCTATAGCACATTTTACAAACAAAGCTTCTAAAGTGCTGCACTGAAATCATAAAATGAAGACAACTAAAAGGTAAATTGCTAATATTTGGTCACACCAGTCCTAAAACAATTAAACCAGTCAAATCAAATAAAAGCAAAAACCATAAAAGTCATAAAATAGCAGTAAATATTAAAATAAATAAAAGACACAGAGGACCACACAACTCACGCAGTGTTAAAAGGCAGAGAAAAAAAGTGGGTTTTAAAACGAGACTTAAAGCACTCCACTGTAGGGGTTGTTCAGATGTGGGGGGGCAGAGGTGCTACAGTATTATAGTGGTGCTCTGAGGTAGCCAAGCTGGCACCACCTACTGCCTCCGCTCAGCTACGTCAGGAATCAAAATACAACAGACGGTTTGCAAAAACCCCGGAAGTGCAAGTTTGGGCACCAGCCAATCAGCGAAGAGCCATACATTTTGTGTTGTCAACGATTCCCGAGATTGGGGATTTAAAGCTGGAACAAAGAGAATGTTTGGTGAAGTTTATTGAGGGGAAAGACATCATTGCCCTGCTTCCTACAGGATTTGGGAAAAGCTTAATATACCAGTTAGCCCCAATAGCGGTGCATTACATACGTGACTACCAAATAGCAGCGATTAGTTAAAGGAAAAAAGTACCCGCCTACCGTAGAGCAAATGAATTCTAATGCTGCAAGGTCAGAAGGTTTCTACAAAGTAAAATGAAGTGAAACCGGGAGATGAATCAGGCTAGCTCTGAGGTAGAGGAATGAAACAATGCCACAGAATTTCCCACACATACATGTCCAACTCCATATGGAATGATGTTTAGAAATAAGAACAGAGTTTCTTTCATTAGACTATTTAGAAAAAAATGAATAAAAAATGCAAATTCCACCCACCCTGTAGAAGACACTTAACTATTTATCCACATAAACAACTTGCTTGACCAGTCAGCCCGTTTCTACATTCTAGTCAGAAGGTCCAGAAGGGTCTGTTATCAGACCATAGAGCATGATAAAACTTTCCAAACTTCCAAACAACCAAACCAGAGCTGTTCATCTGTAGCATGTGTCTCAAATGCAGAAGTCTCCTCTCATAACATTCAAAACAAACTATATAACTTCTTTTACATGAGATGAGTAATAGTTTGGTGTCACGACTGTTGATTCTGAGGAAAAACCCATGCTGTTTCTCAGTCTTTATGTAGATTTTTAGTGTAAGCAGCTACACTTGTCTTTGAAGCAAACTGAGCATGTGTCTCTCTGATTGGTTCCTGTCAATCACACCCTCTGAAATCAAGCAAACAGGATACGGCTTCACATCCACTCATCTCTGTAACGTTTTGTCAAAGCATATGGTTCTAGCCGGCCAGATAAATGCTGTACATAACCATACGATATAAACCATAATCACATTAACACTTCACCATCTGTCACTGTGAAACTATTGAATACATAAGATTCAGATTCTAGCTCATATGTATGCTTGCAGGGATTTTCAGCGAGTCTTAAACTGGGTTAGAAGACAGAACACCAGCTAAGTTGCGGGAACTCACATGTGTCTGTGACTGCGTACACATGTGGGAGGGTAGAGGGTAGAGTCTCACCTCTTTCTATCAGCTCTCATCAGCCCAGTCTGAACATGAAAGAGCTGGAGCTGGTGAGTGCACAGAGATGACACGGATCCACACTGTTACTGCTGCTGCTGTTGCTGCTGCTGAGGAAAGCCAAACACCTACAGAACGGAGCTACAAGTGTCAGCACCTTTAATAGTTGGAAGTATCACTCCCACCTTCACCTGGAGCATTGTATTCCTGTCAGGTGCGAAAGGGAGACAAAAGAAAGGTCTCTGTGTGAGTGTGTGGTGTGTTTGTGTGTGTAAATATGCAAGAAACATAAATGGTGTCTGTTGCTTTTGCAGAAATATTACCAGTAAACAACTTCTCTATTTTCTGATCTGTTATAATGTTGTTTCCTCATCACAAACATACAATACCAGCAGTTGTGTTTTGTTTCATTCACACATGTTTAACACACAAAGCATACATATTTAGGCTGAGTTCTTCTCTCAAACAGAAAACACTCTGTTCTACCTTCTGATTGCACGTGGTAATACATGAAGTGCTCCACTGTGTTTTAAAACTCCATACATCTTCACTAGAATAATTTGGATCATTTCAGCTCTGGAATTCTCAGTCACTTCTAAACAAACATAAAGGTAGATGTTAACTTATAAACTACCACCATAACATCACAACGTGGAACAGAGCATTTTGAGCTTTGGAGATGAAGACAGACTAATAATAAATGGCTACTGACACGTGTGTGTGAATGAAACAAAACACAACTCCAAATATGTTTTAGTGAGGATATTATAACATGATTTAAAGCTCACAGGCATCCATTTTGTGTAATATAGGACCTTTAATGATTATAGCTACATGACTTCCTATACCTATACATGACCGTACTGTCCAGTTAATCCGTGTATCATTTCTTCATTTGTTTTTCAATATAAAACCAAAATAAGAAAATGAAACTGTTCTTCATTATTTGTCTCCAAAACCAAAATGAAAAAAATGGATAATGATTTGTTTTTGTTTTGTTTTTTTCCCAGTTTTCGATTTCGTGTTTTAATGAAAAATGGAAAAAACAGACATTTCCCATTTTCTTGATTTAAACTGTGAAGCCAGACTGATTAAACCAGGTCCAGGACCAGACCGGGACTGAGACT